ACCTAAAGCCATTCTCAGTAATGTGTCTTGCCCATAACCTGGGGACCACCTGTATAGAAAAATTTATGACAATTGGTATATGTTATTATGGAGGCTAAGAAATTCCATCAACTTCTGTCTTCAGAGTGAAAAACCAGGAAAATGAGTCATGTAATTCAGAATGAATCTGAAGGTTCAAGAATCAGGAGCTCTGATATTCAATGACAGAAGAAGCTGGATGACTTAGATTCAAAAGAAAGAGAGAGAATTTGCCCTTTCTTCACTTTTTTATTCTACACAGGCCCTCAATGGATTGTATGATGCCTTCCCACATTGCTGAAAATGGATCTTCTTTACTCAGTCTACTAATTCAAGTGCTCATCTCTTCCAGAAATACCCTCATAGATGCACCCTAAAATATGCTTTAGCAACTATCTGGGCCTCCCTTAGCCCAATCAAGTTGACATATAAAATAAACCATCACACTAAACTATATGTTGTCTAAAAGACACTTATTTTATATAGAGAGACACAGAGAAATTAAGGGTTAATTAGCTTATTTTAATCATTTGACAATTAATTAAGAAAATCATAACATCATTATGTACCCCATAAATGCATGTGTCTTAGTCCATTTGTGTTGCTATAAACGAATACCTGAGGCTAGAAAATTTATAAAGAAAGGAGTTTTATTTGGCTCACAGTTCTGTAAGCTATACAAGAAGTGTGGCACAAGCATCTACATCTGGTTAGGGCCTAAGACTGCTTCTAGTCATAACAGAAGGGGAAGAGGAGGCAAAGGGAAATAGGTATGTACAGATCACATGGGGGGGGAGAGAGAGAGAAATAGAGATAGAGAGAGAGAGAGACGTGGAAGGTGCCAGGATCTATTTAACAATCAGTTCTAATGGGAACTAATAGAGTAAGAATTTACTCATTACAATGAGGATGTCATAAAGCCATTTATCAGGGATCTTCCCCCATGATCCAAACACTTCTCTTTAGGCCCTATCTCCAACATTGGGGATCAAATTTCAACATTAGATTCAGAGGGGATAAATATCCAAACTATAACAATATGCAGCTATAATTTTCAATATATAATTTTTAAAAAGTAAAAGGATAGAAAAATATTTAACATGCTAACACTAATCAAAACACAGCATTGAAATACATGAGGCAAAAAAAACCACCCTGATAGAACTGCAAAAAGAAATAATTAAATCCACTATTATAGTCAATGGCTTCCACACCCCTCTATCAGAAATGGAGAGATCTAGCAGGCGGAAAAATCAATAATGACAGAGCATAACCAATAGCATCATCAATCAAATAGATCTAAGTGACATTTATAGAATATTTTATTAAATGACAGCAGAATACACATCCTTCTCTAGCTCACATTGAACATTCACCAAGATAGACCACATTCTTGGTGGGCTATATACCACACAGTAATAAATCTAAAAAATATAAAAATCATACAATGTATGCTCTGAGACCACAATGGAGTTAAATTAAAAATAAATGACAAAGAGATGACTAGAAAATGGATCAAAGAAAGATTCAAGAAAAATTAAAAACTATTTTGAAGTAAATTAAAATATATCAAAATTTGTGTAATACAGCAAAAGCAACATCAAAAAACATATAGCATAAAATACATATATCAGAAAATTTAAAAAAAAAATCAACAGTCAATAATCTACACTAACATATTAGGAAATGAGAAAAAAAGAGCAAATTAAAACCAAAGTAAGAGGCCGGGCACTGTGGCTCACGCCTGTAATCCTAGCTCTTGGGAGGCCGAGGCGGGCGGATTGCTCAAGGTCAGGAGTTCAATACCAGCCTGAGCAAGAGCGAGACCCCGTCTCTACTATAAATAGAAAGAAATTAATTGGCCAACTGATATATATATATAAAATTAGCCGGGCATGGTGGTGCATGCCTGTAGTCCCAGCTACTCGGGAGGCTGAGGCAGGAGGATCGCTTGAGCCCAGGAGTTTGAGGTTGCTGTGAGCTAGGCTGACGCCACGGCACTCACTCTAGCCTGGACAACAAAGTGAGACTCTGTCTCAAAAAAAAAAAAAAAAAAAACCAAAGTAAGCAATATAAAGAAACAAAAATTCAGCAGAAATGAAATAAATTAAAAACAAGAATTTCAGGCCATTCATTCTGGCCACTGGTGGGACTGTGTCTTACCTGAGCCTAAGGACACTAGGTAGCCCTGTTGCATCCCTTGTTGCACTATAATCTGCTGGTACTGTGAGATCCATGGGGAGGACATTGCAATGCCTGGAAGCAGGGTTATTTGGATTCTCTTTAATCAACTTTGAAAAAAGAAAGCTGTAATTAAGTGACTAATCTTTTACTCAAATTAAAAATTTATCAAGATGGCCAGCTAGAGAAGTCACTTCCTGGACTATACCAGAGGAAAGATAGGATTTCAGATAAAGAAGAGGGGAGAAGAGACACAGATCAGGTGTAGATCATAGAGGGAGGTTCAGAGCCTGCCATGGACCTGATGGAGAAAAACTGTGAAGCAGAAAAGGAAGAAGGTAAAGGGAAAAACATATCAAATAAATTTTGGCTGAAGCCAAATGGCTGACTACAGACAAAGCTTGTTGGACTGTCCAGGCAGAAGGGTGAGGATTGGACGGATGAGAGCAGAAAGTGATTACTGCTCAGAAGTAGACCCTGGAGATGCACACCAGTGGAGTACAGGAACACCACCAGGAAGAACTGAGCAGCTGAGAGAGAGAAAGATAGAAGGAGTAATTGGTGTGAATTCATCCCAGGGAGTTCCAGAGCCCAGGGAAAGGGTAAGAATTTTTTTCCTCCCCTACTTGGGTACCTCAGGCCAGCAATGGGACACAGGCTCTTATCCCACCAGAGAGTGCCACAAAAGACCAGAGATTCAGCATCCCAGAATCTGGACACCTTCACCTCTGTACCTCGTCCACTCCAGACATCCCAGGAAGTAATTTAGGCTCAAGCCGCTCATAGCCAGGTGGCTGCACCCACCCCATAGCAACTGCCAAAGTACCTTGTGCTGAGTGACTTGGGTCCTGACAATGAGAACACACTCCTAGCCAAGCCTGCCTCTGGCAATGGAAGCACATTGCTGGAGTGCATTCCCAGCCAAGCCTGCCTTGGTCAGTATAGCCACCACCACAGCTTGGAGAGGAGGGTGGTTGCACTGCTGTGGCCATGGCTTGGAGAGGAGGGTGGATACAGGCACATTTCCACACCCAAACAAAAGGGCAATCTCAGATTGTGATCTTCTTGTCCACAGGAGCTTGGGGCATTCACCTGCAGATGGTAGGATGGAGAGGTGATGGGGAGAGATCCCAGTTTGAGGGTTTTGTGGCAAGTGAGAGCCCATGCCAATTGGGAGGGTGTGGAGGAGCGCAAGAAAGCAGAGTTCTGTGGGTGAGCCCCCTCCCCCTGGAGAACAGCCATATTGGAGTTTGCTGTGCCATTGTGACTCAATTTGCATAAGTACTGGTTCCCATAGGAACTAAATGCCTCAGGTGCCACAGGCTGAATCAAAGCAGCTGTGCCCACCACCACTGACTTTAATAGATAGTTCAGCTTGAACCAAGAGTTCCTTGGGCTGCTCTAATCCCCCCAGTGAGAGCATCCTCCTAGCAGAGACTTCTGGGGATAGAGAGGTGTAGTGCTGGGAAAGGGATACACAATTGAAGATCCCCCATCTATCAGAGACACATGGAGACATATGCCAGTGGGCCAGATACACAAACTGTTGGAAAGCTTGAGAACTCATCTTGGGCAGAGAAAACATAAGTAAATCAATCAGAGGGGAAGTGCCCGGGTTTGTGGACAGGGATGGAAAAACCTGGTTAGAGGCCTCAGCAACCACACAAGTAGACCTCCCCCCCTCTTTAATTTATTTTTATTTCAGGATATTATGAGGGTACAAACATTTTGGTTACATTTTATGACTTTGCCTCACCCACGCGAGGATTAGAGGCATGGCTTTCCCCCCTACAATAATATCGTACATACTGAAAGCAAGCTTAAGCGAGAAGAACAAATTGGGAGAAATCAATCTATCAGACTTCAAGCTATACTACAAGGGTATAGTAAGCAAAATAGCATGGCACTGACACAACAACAGAGACATAGACCAATGGAACAGGACTGAGAACCCAGATATAAAATCATCCTCATATGGTCATCTAATCTTTGAGAAAGCAGACAAAAACATACACTGGGGGAAATAATCTCTATTCAATAAATGGCGCTGGATAGCAACATGTAGAAGAATGAAACAGTATCCACACCTCTCACCTCTCACAAAAATCGAGTCATGATGGATAACAAATTTAAACCTAAGACATGAAACCATAAGAATTCTAGAAGAAAATGTTGGGAAAACTCATATAGATATCAGCCTAGGTAAAAAATTTATGAAGACCCCCAAAACAATCACAGCAACAACAAAGATAAATAAATGGGACCTGATCAAATTAAAAAGCCTCTGCATAGTCAAGTAAATTATTGTTAGCATGAACAGACAACTTACAGAATGGGAGAAAATATCTCCATGCTATACATTCTATAAAGGAATGATGATTAGAATCTATAAAGAACTTAATAAGAGCAAATCAAACAACCCCATTTTAAAGTGATCAAAGGACATGAACAGATGCTTTTCAAAAGAAGATAGGCTGATGGTCAGCAAACATGAAAACATGCTTAACATCTCTAATCATCAGGGAAATGCAAATCAAAACCACAATGTGATATCATCTAACTCCAGTGAGAATGGCTTTTTTTTTTTTTATTTTCCGGCAGAATCTTTTTTAATATAAAACAAAGATAAAACACATCTCAACCCTGCTTTTTGTCAGCATGCCTTGTTTCTACAAGATGCATGCTGCTAGGCCGTAAGACTACATAGTAAAGGGTCTCTGAGCATTTGGTTGAAGGAAATAGAAAATGCAGATCTCAGAGGAGCCTGGGCAAGCCCAAAAGATGAGCTACATCTCTGAACACTAGAGCAGTCCTTATCTTTTCAGATCCTCATACGTCTTCTTATTCACAACATTCCCACTGGAGTCTTCATATTCTTCCTCAGTGTCGGGCTGCCATCGCTCTGAAGCCTTCTGCAGTTTCAGCTTGGCTCACAAGGAGACAGCATCTTCAATCTGTGTCACATTAGCAAAGTGGGCAGTGTTTGGGATGCCCAAACATCTCATGCCATGAGCATGACGCCATTCAGCAAAGTGCTGTTGGAAGGCCTTGGGTCCTCGGTAGGTGTAGTTTCCACAGATTTCACAGTTGTAGTTGATGTTTAGGCCATGAAGCTTATACAGCCAGTAGGGAATGGGTTTGCCATCCCAGCCAAGGGGCAGGTTTTTGGGGTTGTAAATGATCTCATTCTCTTCATCTTCACTTTCACTCTCACTCATCTGCTCTTCCTCCTCCTCTTCTCGCTCTTCTCCTGTCCTTGCTTGCTTGCGTTGTACATTTTCATGTGTAAGATGTCGCTGTTCCCCAAGAATCTCTACATATTCATAGATCTGGGCTTCTAGAAAAGCAATGTCTTTGTTCCTCTCGGTGTCTCGCTTGGTGCCCTTTGATTTAGGAATTTTGGCGAACAGAGAAGTGTCAAGTGACTCCAGGGACTTTCCTTTGGTGCTGAAGAGTCTCTGGGCTCGCTCTTCTAGAGTCCCGCCACATTTCAGGCCTAAAGCTAAGAGTGCAGATTTCAATCTGTCCAGACCCAGGGAGGCCAACTCCTCCCAAGAGGAGAATGCAGAAGGGTCAAGATGGGCTCCAGCATGAGTCAGGGCACTGCTTGTCTCTTTCGGCCATCCAGGGAAGGTACCATTGTCCCACTTCTTCTCAAACTCAGTCTGAATCTTCCCAAAAAGTTCATTCTGATCTTGAGGGGCTTCACTCTATCTGTGTAATCCTGAAGGTACTCAAGCAGCATCTCTAGGTATCTTTTATACTCTGCATTCTTCCTTTCTTTAGGAATGTCAAATAACTGATCGAAGATGGACAGGTATGTGATATAATCTAGCTTCTCAGATGCCTTCAGGTTAATGTACTTGAGGTAACAGTCATGGAGATCAAGGTAACGACCATATCCCTCTTCATCCGTGAACTCCACCAAGTTTTGCGCCTCTTCACTTGGATTCTCTCGAGCCTTCAGGAGCTCCTCAAATTCCACTGACATTGGCACACAGATCTCATTTGGGTGCTTCCTGTGGAATTCCTTTATTTGCTTGAGTCTATTATAGAATTCAGCAAACTCATTGGGTCCAGAAATAGCATTAAGCTCCTCCTTTCGTAACCCATCCTTATCGTCATACAAATCCCTCAGGTTCCCACTGACCTCCATATACCTATCTTGCATGGCTCGAGTGCGGTGGTCAGAATTGATCTGGTCCTGGAGTGTGGACTTCTTTGTGAGCATCTCTTTGGCCATGACGTCCATAAGACGTTCCTTCTCCTCATGATAGCGCCGCTGCTGCTCCAAAATTGTCTCCATTTTCTCTTCCGAGAATGGCTTTTATTAAAATGTCCAAAAACGATAAATGTTGACGCGAATGTGGAGATATAGGAACACTCATACCCCATACACTATTGGTGGGACTGCAAATTAATATAACCTCTATGGAAAGTGATATTGAGATACTTCAAAGAGCCAAAAGTAGAACTACCATTTGATCCATCAATCCCATTATTGGGCATCTACCCAAAGGAAAAGAAGTGTTTTCAAAAAGAAAGCTGCACTCAAATGTTTACTGCCACACAATTCACAATGGGAAAGATGTAGAATCACCCCAAGTGTCCATCAATTCATAAGTGGATTAATAAAATGTGATATATGTATACCATTGAGTACTACCCACCCATAAAAATGATAAGTTAATGCCTTTTGGAACAATTTGGATAGAACTGGAGACCATTATCCTAAGTGAAATATCTCAAGAATGGATAAACAAACACCACATTAACTCATTATTAAATTGGATCTAACTGATGATCACACATGTACATAGAGGGAAGTAAAACTCAGTGAAAATCCAGCAGAAGAGGGGAGCTTCAAAAACCTACCTAATGGGTACAATGAACATGATTTTGGTGATGAGCATACCTATAGCCATGACTCAAGCATTCCAAAAGTGATCCATGTAACGAAGATCATTTGCACCCCTGAATATTTTGAAATAAAAAATAATAACAAAAAATCCCTGAAGGCGTCATGCTACCTGACTTCAAAATATATGACAATGCTGTAGGCATAAGAATAGCATGGCACTGACATAAAACCAGACACATAGACCAATGCAACAAAATAGAGAACCCAGAAATAAATCCACATATTTAGAACCAACTGAATTTTGGTATAGGTGCCCAGAACATACATTGGGGAAAGCATAGTCTCTTCAATAAATGGTGCTGGGAAAACTGGATATTCACATGCACAAGAGTGAAATCTCACCATTATCTCTCACCTTATATAAAAAATCAAATCAAAATAGATTTAAGACTTCAATGTAAGACCTAAAACTATAGAACTTCTAGAAGAAAACAGAGGGAAATTCTTTATGACATTGGTCTGGGGCAAGAAGTTTTTGAATAGTACTTGAAAAGCTCAGCAGGAAAAGCTAAAATAAACAAATGGGATTACATCAAACTAAAACTTCTTCACAAGAAAGGAAACAATACACAGAGCAAAGTAATAACGTACAGATGGGAGAAAGAATTTGCAAACTATGCTTCTGAAAAGCAGTTAACATCCAGAGAATGTAAGGGATTCAAATAAGTCAATAGCAAAAAAAAAAAAAAAATTAGTTTGATTAAAAAGTGAGCAAAAAACCTGAACAGACATTTTTCAAAAACACATACAAATGGCCAGCACATAATATGCCAAAATGCTCAACAGCTCAACATCACTAATCATCAGGAAAATACAAATCTAAACCACAATAAGATATCACCTCACCTGAATTAGAATGACTGTTATAAGAAAGACAAGAAATCACAAATTCTGACAAGAATACCAAGAAAGAGGAACTCTTTATACACTGCTGGAGAAAATGTAAATTAATACAGCCATTATGGAAAAACAACATGGAGTTTTCCCAAAAACTGAAAATAGAACTCCTATATGATCCAGCAGTTCCACTACAGGGATTATACTGAAAGGAATTGAATTCAGTACGTTGAAGAGATATCTGAACCCCCATGTTTACTGTAGCACTATTCACAATAGCCAAGAGATGGAATTAACCTAAGTATCCATCAAGAGATGAACAGATAAATTGAATAAAACAAAGGTAAAAGAGGTTTTTAAAAATCAAACTGCAATGGAAACTGCTTTACACAAAACTTTGATCCACAGGCTTTATTAGATTACCTTTCACAGCAACTAAAGTTTAGCCATGTGAAAAAGCTCTAATTTTGTCAGAATTAATCCGGATCCAGTTGTTCTGTAAACCAGTGAGTTTTCATTACTATCTCGTAGATAGAGTTTTGAGGTAAAACTATTGGAAATTTGTATGCTTGTGCATGAGCATGTATGTGTATGTATTTAGATGTGTTTTGTACATGTATCATATGTTGTGTCGACATGGTACCAGACTGGCTTATAAAAAAGAGTGAAAGCTCAGAAATTAATTAAATAAACCCAAACATTTTTCGAGTTCACATGAATTTAGTAATTTTTGATAAATAAGCTGGGTTATTAAAGAATTATTATTAGTGAAGTAAAAATAAAAATGTCTTCAAATTTTCAGTATACATTTTTGTCTGATTTCTTGGTCATTTTTTTATGTTTTTAAGGTATCAAAGTTTGACAAAACACTATAAAACTATAAACCCAGCCAAAATCAAAATGTTCTGTTTGTGTGATTTTTGATAAATAAGACTAATTTAGTACTAGACAACAGTTAAATCTCCTAAATTATTGAAAAAATACCCATGCATTTATCTTTAAGATCCTTACCTAGGTAAAAATGTAGACATGCCTAAATAAAAATGAATGTCAGTAAATGAAAATAAGTAAAACATCAGGTAAATAGGAGCACAAAAACAGAAACTTATGGTCAAAGGTTCATGAAGATATTTGGTTTTGGTCTCTTAATCCTAGTTGTAGATGCCATTTCTTCCACTAACTTCAATGTGTGTGGAAAGGCATACATAATATCTGTTTCTAACTCACTCTTTCTATCACGTGATATTGACTGTATTGTTAGGAATTTAAAGTTGCCCTAGGATCTGTAGTTACAAGAGCTTAAACCAAGTCAGAGGCTTTGGTTCTGCCTTACTCTTTTTTTATTTTTTTATTTTTTTTTCCCAGCATATTGTGGGAGTACAAATGTTAAGGTTATGTATATTCCCCTTGCCCCCCTCTCCCCTAGAGTCAGAGCCTCAAGCGTGTCCATCCCGCAGTTGGTGCGCATAGCACTCATTATGTATGTATATACACATCCCCTCCCCCCCACCTGCCCGACACCCATTTGCTCTACTCTTTACATGCTAGTCAGTTATGTATTATGTTGTATTTCCATAGAAAAGTCCTGTGCATTAAGAAAATTTGAAAAAAATCCCTAAACTGTTAAATTTTATACAGTAATTTATTTGAAGATGAACAAGGTGGTTGTTCTTAGAATTCCCCCCAAAATCTTGAAACAATCTTATCCTTTGGAAGCATTACATGTACTCAAGTTTACAGTCAATTGGAAAATGTTTTGAGACTATTTAGATTGTTTTTAAAATAGCTTAATATTGGTCCTAATTTTAAAGAAAACATGTTACAACTTTATGTCACTGTTTGTGGTGCTAAGGATTGGTGTTGAAGGTTTATTCAGTCTACAGTCAAATGATATTATGCTGATGGGACTTAGAAAATAGTACCCTAAAATGCAGGCCTCAGAAACAAAAGTTCTCTGACCTTCCCTCCTGCTTCTTGGTCCCATTCTTCCTTAGGCTAGCCATAGAAACCAGAAATCCCTCTTCTCCAAGGTGGCTCATAAAAGCCATAACCCCTTTTCCAGAAAGCTAGCCATAAAACTTAAAATTATTTTATGTAAAAACTGACCATAAAGTAATTATCTGACTTACCTTGTTTGACTGTAAGACTCCCATTCCAGAAAGGGCTCTACCACACACCTAGAAGGAAAAAGTGCATGCTCAGAGAAGCCAAACAGGATCTAGACAGAAAGGCCTTGCTGGGTTCCCCCATGCATCCTGTCAGCATTAGATTGTAAACTTTTTGTCCAATTATATTTCTTCATGGCTGTCCATACTTTATTGTATCCAAGCACAAAAATGGACAATTTCTCCTGTATTTTTGAGTTTTCATTCTGAAGACTCCCATATATACATGTTAAAATAAGTTTGATTTTCTTCCTATCAATTAATCTGCCTCATATCAGTGATTTTTGGGGACAGGGGCCTTTACTCCCCACAGTTTGGCTAAATTATGAGGGGCCAGGAATCTTTTCTCCTTATAATGTCAATAGATTTTGTTTTGGAATGTTGGTGTTTGGAAAAGATCTAATTAATTAACACCTTTAACATGTTAACTGCTGTGTGAGTTGTATTTAACTCATGCTAGTTTTCAGCCTGGGGCCTCGTGAAGCATATGTAACTCACATGCCTCTTCACCTTGGGAGCTATGAGAATTGTTTTTCAAGTTGCATATAACTCACATACACAAAACAATAAAAAATAACACATTTTTCATTAAATTAGAAAGGATGGTTTTGTTTTTGAAGATTTAATTCTATTTTTGTCATAAAATACCATGGCCCCAAGGAAATTTTCTTTTATAGTGTGGCAGTCAACCTTCTAAAACTTCTACTATATTTATAAGACTTAGAAAAGATATTACAGTGTTCAAAATAACAATTTTTACTAGAATACTTACTTTTGGTTTCTTGGTAGGATTTTTTGAGTTTAAAAGTAGTAATTAAAACTATGCTTTTATTCCTGGTCTGTATTATATATCTAATTCACAAGATATAAAAATGGCTAACAGAAAGTAACTCAAAATGATAACTGGGAACTAGGTAAACTGCTAAGATAAATAAATTATGTAAATTAGATAAATGTAAATGGAATAAATATTTACAAATAAAATTTAGAACCTTAAAGTTTTGTTGAATTAAATAAATGACACTTGTAAAATTACTGGCTCATTTCCAATTAACACAAAAAAAGATATATCATAGGAAAGCACATCTAACAATTATAAAATGGTTCTCATTTATAAGATACTGATATGTAACAGTGAAGAAAATTAGAAGCACTTTACCTCAAAATATGGCAATTTGACATGCTGAACTGACTAAAAGAACCTCAAGGTCTCTCTGAATTTATTCTCCCATAACCCATTTCACCAAAAGGGGAAAAAAGAGGAACCAGTAAGTAGGAAAGAGAGAGATGTAAAGAAAGCTCTAAATATAAAAATTTATTTTTGGTTAAAAAGAGGTTAAACAGAAAGGAGAATAGTATTGTATGAGAGAGGATCTTGTACGGTAAATTTTTGTCCTAAACTAAAATTGTTATTTAAGAAAAGGAAGATTTAGGACAAAGCACAAAGCTTAAACATGTGGTAGATGATCTATGCAAGTCTGGATAAGGTTCGTAGAACAGAATTTATAAGGTCATTTTTTAATGTGATCAAGCTCACTATAATTAAAAAGAAAAATTTCTGGTTAAAACAACAAAGTTTTCCTAAAATATTAAATATCTGTTAATGAAATTGCATTATGTATTAATTTTAATTCTACAATCCATTTCTTTTTTTATTTACTTTTATTTTAGTGTATTATGGGGGTACAAGTGTTAAGGTTATGTATATTGCCCATGCCCCCCCTTCCATTTCTTTTTTTAATTAAAAATTCCGCACACTTATACCTTAACAGTTCAACTTTTTCTATGTCTTACTGATTTCAGGGTTTTCTCCCCCTTAAAGCTAGGATGTAGCTCTCACTTTCAACTTATCATTATCTCCTGTAATTTTTTTCCCTTCTGTTGTTATAGCCTGTTGCTATAATGTTTTATCTCAATGGTTTAGAAAAACAATGTTTTCCTACAATACAACTTAATACTTATGGTTTTTCTTGATATGTCTAAATTACTTAATATGGTCAGAAAACTTCTCCTGCTGTTGCTAAGAGTCATTTGTTCCCCTACTTAAGGTACTAGCTTTTCTTACTGACATTCCTCTATTATATACTGTATACTCATGCCTCTGGCCACACTCTTGCTGTGTCTGATTAATTCAAGTACCCCTTTCCTCAGGTTTATCTTCCAAGTTATTTAAATGGGCTTCTCGTAAAAAAAAAAAAAAAGAAAGAAACACACTGCAGAAGTTGTTCTTTACGTTTTGGGTAACTGGCCTAAAATAAACAAAGATTTTATGCTTTATCAAGATTATCCCTATGTTGTCCTCTTACTATTATCTTTCTTCCTCATAAGAAGATAAAGTCGAAAGGCATTACCACAAAGATGGTGAGTGTGTGTTAGATGATACAGACTTTGACACTGAGAATTACGAAGGGTATTCCAAGAAGTATAATGGACAGTCCTAGTTTGTTTTTATACACATAAATCTTACTGTGACATTTAAACTGGTTTCATTTTGCTTTTACTAACAATAAACTCAGAAATAACCATGTAAGATGCTATTACATTTACTTCTTTAGATAAATTTACAGCTGTAGATTCTATAGCCCACATCACCTTCTTACAGGAACATCATAAGGAGAGCTTACTCCTTAATGCAATTTCAACAAAACTGCCAAGGTGAGTATTGGGGGAGGCAGTGAGGAGATCAAAGATAGGCTTTCCTGTATGTAAATATCCACAGTAGATTATCAGACATACAAAAATACACCTAGAAATTAAATTTATATATAATTTATAAAGTTTTATAAATTATAAAGTTTTATAAAGTTTTCCGTTTGATTGGTTAGTTGGTCAATTATTATTGATTTTTTTAACTAACAGCTCTTATTTCCTGGTATAGTGTATAAATAATAATGTGACTATTTCCATTAGTGAAACCAAACTTAAATGTACACTTAAGAAATGTCACAGGCTTTGAAACTGAGTAGTCTAATAAATATCAAATCTGAGGAAATAAAAACTCATTCTGAGTGATTGCTCTTACCCAAATCTGCTCAAAACTAAAATATCTTGGCCAAATATGTTTAAAACTAGAATGAAAATCTAAGAATTTTACTGCTAAAAATCTCCTTATTATATTCTTCCTACATTAGAAGATTATCTGGAATTAAATAGTTTCAGCATTTTCTTAAGATTACATAAGATGCTTTAAAAGCAATAATTATAGTCCAAACAATTACTTGTTGAGTCCTTCTAGTGCAATATGCCAGAGTTTTAAATAGGAACCAAACACATCATGTGCTTAAAAGTACAAAACTAACTTTTAGAAATCAACTTTTTTATTTGAAGTTTTACAGCACAAGAAGTAAGATAATGTCTATCTTACCAATGTTGTGAAAATAACAACTAAATTACATTACTAATGAGTGGGAAAGCATGATGTGTAATTTCATCAAAGAAAACCCTAATTGTCTTGATCTGTATTTAGCAACATTAAGGAGATAAAGACTTTGTGCATCATCAAAAAAAATTGATTAAAAAAAAGCTCTAAATATCTGGTGGAAGCCAAAATTTGAAGACATACTTTGATTTTTTTCTACAAGTGAAGCATATAAACAAGAACAGCAATATCTAATTAAGAACTTTCTAAGTATGAACTTTTTTCTCAAATTTTTGACCCCTGTGTATAAAATTGGGATGAAAGGAGAGGTCAGTCCTTTACTATTCTGCTGGGTTATCAGGCATATCTAATAGGATCCATATATGCTTGGTTCTATTATTAAAATAATTTTTCTCTATTTAGTTGCACCTTTTATACTGGCACCTTTTTGCTACATCCTCACTCCTGTTTATGCAAGTTAATGAATAAGGAGTGCACATCAATCATACAAAAGTTGTTTATTATTGTCTTGATATTTTCACTAGATATCTCCTAAATCAAAATGGCAGGCTAAAAATTTTATGTAACCTTTGTGTATAGTCTACAAAATAGGAAAAAAGAAAACAACAGATAAGCAGTAGTATCCTCCAGCTACTACTCCTGCAGGGATGATATTGCACAGTAAATATCATGCTGCAAAATTGGAAAGTTAACTTTTGTCAGGGCTTTCAAAAGAAATAACTTCTCACCAAAGGGAATTAACATAGCAAGAACATTCCATGTCTAAAATATTGGTCAGAAAACAGCAGGAAAGAGAATGCATGCAAGACAAGCAAGAGCTAAAGAAAGTCATAGGGTAACAGACAACAGAGTTATGTGAAATATATGCAAGGAGTGCACTTCACATATTTGAGGGTACCACCTCCATCTTTAAGTGGCTTTTCCCTTTCCCCAGTTCAAGAAATATTCATTGAATGTATAAGGTACTGGGAACTCAGATAAATGAGCTATAGTATCTACCTCAAGGATGAAATAGATAGCATGGAAATCACAACTCAGTCAAACAAGGGGAGGCAGTCACAATCACATAGTTTCAATAAACAAGAATGTTGATAGACATATGTATATGATCCTATGGGAAAATGAAAAGGGGCACTTCTACCTGACCTTACAGTTTAGGAAAAGCTTCTGGAGTAGGTAATATGTTAGTTTAATCTTAAAATATAAGAAAGGTGTTATTTATAAACTAAGTGAAAGGTAGAAAGCACATTTATAGGGTGAGAAAAGAGTATGAGCAAAGGAAAGAAGATAAGAAACGTGGGAGAACTATAAGAAGTTTGGTGTTATTAGACCATTAGCAGTGAGGCAGGTTGGAATGGGATGAGATTTGAGAAATAGAGAACAAAGTTTTGAACCACCTCAAGTAGCAAGCAAAGAATGTGAGGCTTTATTTTGTAAGCAATAGAGAATACCTAAAGTTTCCTAAAGATAGAAGTATAAAAAATATGTTCTGTTTTGTATTGTATTAATCTATATTCCTACAGATGATGTGTGATTAGAGAGAAACCAGGGAAAGTGGTTTGTGGGTTGTTATAAATAGTCTATAGGAGAAAGATCCAGATTTTTAATATTTCAGTGAAAGTAAAGGCAAAGA